GCGCTAGGAAAAGAAATAACTGGTCCTATCCCAGGAGTGGCTAGGAAAGCCGAGGATGTGAGCTGGGATGTAAGCCGAGGGTAAGGTCTACAGGAAAGCTTTGTATATTTTTCTAGGCACGCCGCGAGGAAGAAGCGCCGTGACGCGACCCTTCTGCCACGCGGCCGTGCCGCCCACCCCACCTGGGGCTCAGTGGGAGGGCGAAGGTGGAGAAGCGGAGCTACCGAGCTTGCTTCCCTCCCACGCTGGAACCCACCCAAAAAAGCTCGACAGAGGAACTTGGCGCTGCTGACCGACCTGTGGGAAGTCGTGCGGGCAGGCTTTTATCTGGCGTTTAGAAAGCTGCGTTTTACTCTGAGATTTTTTTTTCCGGTACGCTATTAACAGTATGGAGTGTCTTCTTGTGATTTGGTAGGGTTTCAACGCATTTATGAAACAGCCAAAATAAGCTATGTTTCAATATAGGAAAAAAGTCTCAAAGCGGTGAGAATGTGTGATTGTATATATTTTATGGAAAACAGTATTAAAAATACCAGCCCTTCAGTTTTTAATCAGGTGCTCTTCGAGTTCAGTTTTAGGGCATGCATGACATAGACGTGAAAATAGGACTTTCAGATGAAGTGGGATTTTAGGAAGCGTATTATTACCTGATTTGCATTTAAATTGGTGGAATGCACGTTGAGATATTCTGGAGAGAGCCACTGCTTTCTCATCTGCAGCCCAGACATCTTTGAAAAATCAGGCCCTGCGTGCCCTTGGCTAAAATGTAATTGTGGGGGAGCTCTCAAAGGCTATGAACTGTATCAGAACACATCACTTAATAAAGCTTAACTGCAGTTTTACATGGTAAGTAAGTTTTGCTGTTACAAGGGGAAAAAAAAAATGTTTTTCAGCATTTTGTTGGTCATTTGTACGGTGAAGTTGAGGCAACATTTGGCAGCGGCTGCTCCTGGCTCGTTGGATCACCACGGAGGTCTGAGTGCGAGCACCCGGAGTCGTGTCATCGGGGACGGACTATGGCCCTGCCACGCTGGGCACCGAGCGCCGCCTCGTCACAGAGGGATTAAATTAACAGCTTCTACAAGAGAGGCATCACACACACAAGGTCCACTTAAATAATTCACAGGGTGAGATGTGTAAAAGAAACTCTTGATCGCCCAGACCATGACCTGTCAGCAAAAAATTATTTTGCTAGTGTTTGCCTCCATCAGCTTTTACCAGGGGCTGGGAGATTCCCGGCATCGCCCTTGCAAAAGCACCTTCTGCCGCGGGATGTTTTCTGATGCATCTCCTCCATCCTTCCATTTTTCAGTTTCTTTCCGTCGCCTCTCCTTACGCTTGTCTGAATACCCATTAAAAGTACAGACTTCTTTTCCACGCAGTGAACCAAACAGACACACAACAAAGTTTAATTGAATAATTAATAGATAATCTTTTGGCTCTTTCATGACAGACCCTTCTACTTCAGGAGAAACACGTGTTCACCTTTCTTTCCGCTGACAAAGGCCGCTCAGACTGGCACCTCTGCGCTCCCCGGCCGGGTGGCGGCCGGTCTGGGGAAGGAAGGAGAGGAAACCGAGGCTCACCGAGCCACTGCACGGACGCAGCACTACCCCGTTCCCCCTCACCGACGCAGGATGCTCACGTGGGAGGAAACCACATGTCCTGATCTCCGTCTTTGAGGCTTGTAATTGCCTTGTGCAAGGTGCATAAACACTCCTCCGAGCTCTGACCGCAACGGGACTAGACCAGACCTAGGCAGGGGCTATGGCAGGGAAATGCTGACACCCCCCCCCTCCTGCCCCCATCCAGCCCGGGCACAAAACAGCGCTCAGTGACGTGAGAAGCAGGCAAGCGCAGAGGCAGATCTTTAGGCAACGTTCAGACACTTTCGGTGCCCATATTTTAGGCAATAGTCAAGCAGTGTTTCTAGGCTCACAGTTGTAGATACAGGTGTGTAAATACCGCTTAAATCCCTCCCTTCCCACAGGGAAGAAGATGCTGTAGCACAGCATAGCGATGTGGAGTGCCGCAAGCCTCTCTCCTAAGCAGCTGCGTAGCTCTACCGCAGAGCGGTGTGCCTGCACTCTTAGCTCACCAGTTGCAATTCTCTCCTGGTTTAAGTCCTTTTGAACCAGGGGCGAAGCCTGCTTGGGAGACAGGCGTTCGAGGAGCGGCTCACTCCTTAATTTGAGTTACAGCCTGGCCCAGTCGATTCCTGCCCCTGCCTCCCACGTGTGCTGTAGCTAGCG